CAATGTGACCCAAAGGCTTAAGCGCCAGGACGTCGAGCACCGCGGAGGTCGTCACCGCCAAGACCGCCGAAGCCCAGGTCGTCACTGCTAGCGGCAGCGCTACCGCCAAGACCGCCTCCACCTCCGCCTCCGTGGCTCGGAGTGGTCGGGCTCCGTGACTTGGGAGTGTTGCGAAGACCATCGTCAACGGTAGATCCATCAGTTCCCTGGATGTTGAAAACACATATTAACGGGATATATGACTGTGTTGAAAGGCATGATGTTCTTTGGGTGAATAGATTGGGGATGAACTAACCGGCGAGGGGCCAGCGTTCTGTGCCACAAACTCCTCAAAGGTCAGCAACCTTAGTTGTGCTAGAGGATATTGTGCTGGTTGCAACTGAGGACACCTGCCGGACGCCATTTCCTGAAAAGCGTGCTGCATCTGGCGATCCCTCTGCTCATGGTATGCATAAAGCCTCTCGTGCCACGCCATGGTCTCCTGGCATGTGTACTCCAGGTAGGCCTACGGTATGACATGATGGAACTCATAAAACTTCTAAATGCGGAAAATAAAGTGAGCAATGAAGATAAGAGGGAAAATACTTACAGATTGCCGCTCCTAAAAGAGGAACTGTGACTGTGCACTGGTCACTGGCGTGCTCGTGCGCTGGCTAAGGCTCGGGTCGATCCGACGGAGCTGTGTGTAGGAGATAGTAGGAGTGATCACAGCATCGAGAACCGCCGCCCGACCGTGCTCCTTCGGCCCCATGCCCACCACCACCCTATCGTACAGATCAGCCGCAATGGGGTCAGGTTTGTCAGGATGTAACTTCAGATACCCTTCGGAGTAGGCCTTCTTCCTCCCCGCAGTCTTCTTGCTGTAGTACTTGGGCTCGCTAGGCTTGGAGTCCTTCCGCGTATGGGCGATCTCCCACGCCTGCATATGTGAGAGCGGCCGCTTCAGTTTCTCCTCCTGCACCACCAAACAGAGGTTAGTCATACATAAGAAAGTGATGGTAAATAGAAGAAGAAGAATGTTTAATGGGATTAGTCATACATTAACTGCCTTGTGGAGATGGTGGTTTCGGTTTCCCTGAGCATGTACTCCCTCCTTCCCTCGGTTAGCCTTGTTTTTGATTCTCATAGCCGCCCAGGCTCCAGCCTCATCACACCAAAGATCCACCAATGCCGCCCAGGACTCGTCTTTTCCATAACACCAATTTGGACACACCTACATAATGAAAGCATAATGGCATGTCAACACGAAACGGTGAAATGTACCACAAGGTAATGAAAGTATAATGAAATATCTTCTATACTTACCGCCAAGAACTCGTCCCTCTCCAAGGTAATGCCCATCCTCCGCGCTTCTTCCTTGGTCATATTCACACTAAGATAGTCGTGGTAGTATGTCGAGATGGCCACATAGCACACCTCGTACTGTATCTAGCGGGCCTTCTTCTTGCATTGGCGCAGCACGATCTGGTCCGCTCTAGCCCTGTGCTCCGAAAGAACTCGATAGAATTTCTACAATCATGCATGAAACAAGAATGGAAGAAGCCATGAGTTAAATCATTCATGAAACTAGAATGGACTTGTGCTTCTGAAGAGAACTCACCCAGAAAGTAGTGATCACAGCCTTGGCATGGGTCTCATGGTCCGTGTGGAGGGCTGCTTCCCAGTGGTCCTAGCCCGTGGCCAAAACCCGACGGTCCGGGTGCCTGACTGGATCCGGACAGTACAACCCCGACCAGTATAACTTCAGCAAGACGGTGATGAGGCCATTGGGAATATGGACCCCTTTAGAATATATCCAGTTGCTGCAAAAGAATGAACTATTAGCATGTGACAAGCAAAATAAATAACAACCGGAATGAGCATGTGACAAGCAAAATAATGAAATTATTATAAAGTGGCACTTACTCTTTCCCCGTGGGCTCAATGAGCCACTTCTGCTCCTCAGTAGCAGGAACCTGCTTCGGTAGCTTTGCGTTACCACGCAGCCACCCCTTGTTGTCAACCCCATTCCCGCCACCACCATCATCCCCGCCACCACCCTCCTCCTCGCCTGCCTCCCCCTCCCCAACCTCCTCCTCCTCCTCCTCCTCGCCTGCCTCCTCCTCCACCTCCTCCTCGGCCCCATCCCGAACCTCCTCCTCCTCCTCCTCCTCGCCAGAGGGTACCTCACTAGTGGAGGGTACCTCACTAGAGGAGGGCCTCGAAGACAACACCCCTAAGTCGGTGAGGGTGCGCTTTTTCTGGCCGCGACCCCTGTAGTGGCTCTCCCCCCACCACGACGCAACAACCAGCCCGCGGAGGTGCGGCGGCGGTCTGAGGATGAGCACCGCCAGCCACCCCAGGACCCCGCCGGCGAAGAAGATGATGCCGATGTTCAATCACGGGCATGAACCACCTTGGGTTATAATTCAAACCATCTGTCGTTAGCTAGCTTAATTAAGAAAGGAGCATGAGGCGAATGTTCAGGGAACGAGTAAGAGACCATGAGAGGGCGTCCTGGAGCGTGACGGTGGAGGCGAGGCTGGCGAGCAGCAGCGCCGGGGTGAAGACGGCGTAGACGACGCGGTTGATGTCGGCGCGGGCGGAGGGGTCCAGGAGCCCGCAGCGCGGGGAGGCGAGGTAGGCGCCGAGGAGGGCCACGAGGAGCACCTCCACCACCGGCGTCGACGCCACCACCAGCAGCGACACGAACCCCATCCTCCTCCGTCGGTCGATCAGCGAGGGAGCGAGAGAGTGAAGAAGAGGCGGCATGCATCGATGGCCATTTATAGTAGTAGTAGAATGGATGCCACGTGCGCTTGATTTGCTTCTTCTTTTCCAGCTCGACTCATCATTCATGGACTGATTTTGTTGTGGTTGAAGAAGACGGCCACCGGCGGCGATGATGGTGTGGTTGTTGGCGCCATAATCAGATTCATATCGGCCAACCATGCATGCACCAATGATTCCACGCATGCATGCGCGGGAGAGACATTCACGTTCGTACTACTACTGTGCGGCATATATAGGGCAATGCTGTGTGTCGCTCCATAAAACGGTCACAAAAGCCATGGCACGACGAGAGCCGACCTGTGGCTGAATGGTTACGAGGATAGTAGCTAGCTAATCAAACCCTAGGGTTAACGCTTTGTTGTCTTGTGAAGTCAGAAATATTCTTTCAGTACGAAGCGATGTTCCGGCCGATAGCGAGGCGCTCGTAGAGTTAGGATGTGCGTGTGTGCGTTCATAGGATGAGTATATGTACGTGTTTATGAGCTTCCGCGTTTGTACTGTGTTCCTAAGAAAAATGTGGCGTGAAGTCTTTTATCTATAATTGTTTATGCACCGATTTATTTTTTCTTGTTTGAATGATGAAGAAGAGGGGTAAAACTGTTCACTTGAACATTTGATTGCACCATGGTGCACAAGGTAACCCCCAACATTAAAGGCTCAAGCCTAAGCCAGAAAAGGAGCTCCACGAAGAAACCACGAGGACGAATGATTCTGCGGGTTCAGTTTGGCCATTGTATTCACAAAATATGAAGTTCTTTTTTGCGGGGTGAAAGGAGATTTTCATTACTCTCGGAGGCTTATTAGCCTTCGATACGTTTACAAAAAATTCCAACCCCGAGCGCAACCACACTGCAGTGCGGGGGTACTACAGCCAACTCATGACTAACTTTATTCTGGGATTGTCTACAGTGATTCAACTAGACAATTCTATGGAAGTAGAGGGAATGCCGGGTGCATGACATGAGCCTCTCCATTCATGACAACGACCAGGGCGAGCAGGGCCCCAAGAAAGTTCTGTAGCATCATGCAAGGCATGTCATTGAGACGATAATTGGTAAAATGAGGAATAGGTAGGCTTTGCCCTCCCCACATCTTATTTTTTTCATTCTGTTCCTTCATTTTTTATTTTATTTTTCTTCCCCATTTTTTTGTTTGGGTTTCTTTTTCTGCTCCATTTTTTCATTTTTGATTTTTGATTTTTGTTTTTCATTATACATTCTTATGTACATATCACATTTTTTCAAATACTTGTTCAACATTTTCAAACACTTATTCAACATTTTTATATACATGATCAACATTTTATCAAATACTTGTTCAACATTTTTCAAATACTTATTCAACATTTTTGAATGCTTGCTTAACATATTTTTAAATCCTTGTTCAACATTTTTCAGATACATGTTTAAATTTTTCGAACGATTGATTAAGATTTTTCAAATACCTGTTCAACATTTCTTCAAATACTTGTTCAACAATTTTCAAAATGCTGGATTAACATTTTTTTCAAGTATTTGTTCAACATTTTTCAAATACTTGTTCAACATTTTTTGAATGCTTAATCAAAAAATTTCAAATACTTGTTCAAAATTTCCATGAATGCTACATTAACATATTATAAATACTTGCTCAACATTTTTTATAAATATTTGTTCAACATTTTTTGGAATATTTGATTAAAAAATTCAAAAACTTGTTCAACAGTTTTCAAATACTTATTGAATATTTTTTGAATGTTTTTGTAGAGTTATTTAATATATACACGCACATTGAAAATATTTTAGAGTATAAACAGAAGTACAAAATAAAACAAAAAATGAACCGGAAAATAATAGAAAAAGAAAAACAGGCTGTGGCCTCGCTCGCGCATGGGCCGGCCCATCTGGGCTCCATAACCTGCCCGGGCAAAATGTCCGTGGGCCATTCTTTGTGCCTGTTTCTTCTAGCTCTAGATGGGCTTACACGTACACAGCTGGTCCTAGCCCATGGCTGCACGCATCGCATGCATCGTAGGCCTACTGGGCTAGCGCGGTACCAGTAGTGCAACAACTAGCTAGGTAAACCGATTCTCAAAAACCCCTCAAAAAGAAAAACGATTCTCAAAAAAACAAACTAGCTAGGCAAACCGTGTCTTGTCGTATCCTGCTAGGTGAGAGGAGCATCGCCATTTGTGCTCTTCCCCGTCCAATCAACCAACCAACCAAAGTTCTCTCCAAGCTCCGTCGAGGATGGAGAGCGCGGCACTGTCCGTCGTGAGCAAGGTCGGGCAGGTGTTGGTGGACGAGCTCCAGGACATCCGCGGTGTAGGCAACAAGGTCGTGCACCTGCGGGACGAGCTGGCCACCATGAACGCTGTCCTCCGCGTCATCTCAGAGGCAGAGCAGGGCTCCGTCGACCACATCGTCCGGGAGTGGGAGAAGCAGGTGCACGACCTCGTGTATGATGCCGAGGACTGCACCGACACCTACTCGCTACGCATCAGCCGGTCCATGGCGCGCCCGTCCATCTACGCCCGCGCCAAGCGTGTTGCCATGTATCCATACAAGAAGCTTGTGCTGCAGCGTGCCCTCACCGCTGACATCAAGGACCTCCTGGTTCGTACCACCACCGTCAGCGAACGCCGTGCTCGCTACAACATCGACCGTGCCACGCTGCCAAGAGCTGCCTTCTTGGCCCCTGTCTCGGTGGCGTCTATCTCCGCGAGGTCCCTCCGCCGTGCCGACGACCCTCATCAGTTTGTCGGCATCAGGGAGCAGGCTGATGCCCTGGCTAACAAGATCAAGTCCCCTATCCATGATCAGCATGACAAGATCACGGCTCCGGTCCAGGTTGAGGATGCCAAGAGTCTCAAGGTGGTCTCCATTGTGGGGTTTGGAGGCCTGGGGAAGACAACCCTGGCCATGGAGTTGTGCCGGCAACTGGACGTGGACTTCCCCTGCCAGGCGATGGTGTCCGTCTCACAAGCATTTAATGTCGAGAAGGATATGGAGGGACTGTCGAAACGACTGCTCCAGAAGCTCAACAATAAGGGAGAGGATGAAACCAACACGATCGAGGAGGTCCTCAAAAAGACGAGGTATAGACTACCGTCCCCTAATAGAAATTTGAACTATGCTCAACATCATCTTTAGAGTAAATGGCACCGGCGGTCCAAGAACTTGCGCTACGGGTGCACTTAAGTCACCGTACTTGCAAACCGGAAAAACCCGTCATAGAACTTGCATTAGGGGTGCAGATAGGTCACACAGGTCATCTGAACCGGCTAGCTGCCCGGTTTTCTCCTTCTAACGGTCAAGCGCGATAAATTTGTTCACGACTTTAAAAATATATGTGATTCGTGACTTTAAAAAAATGTTCGTGAACGATAAATTTGAAAACTATTCGTTCACGACTTTAAAAAATGTTCGCGGACGGTTCAAAAAATATATTTGTGATCCGCAACTTTAAAAAAATGTTCGCGAACGATAAATTAAAAATATTTGTGATTAGTGACTTTAAAAAAATGTCCAGGAACGAAAAATTTGAAAATGTTTTTGAATGATAAATTTAAAAATGTTCGGGAATGATTAATTTGAAAAGTATTTATTCACGGCATTAAAAAAAGGTCGAGAATGATAAATTTGAAAAATATTTTGATTCGTGAACATTTTTTTAAAGCTGTGAACATTAAAAAAAATGTGATTCACGACTCTAAAAAATTTCGCGAATGATAAATTAAAAAATATTTATTAAAAATATTTATGATTCGTGACTTTAAAAAAATATTTGTTCACGACTTTAAAAAATGTTCGCAAATGATAAATTTGAAAAATATTTGTGATTTGCGAACATTTGTTTTAAGTGGTGAACATTTAAACAAATGTTTGTGATTCATGACTTTAAAAAAATTGTTTTCGGACGATAAATTAAAAAATATTTATTAAAAATATTTGTGATTCGTGACTTTAAAAAAATGTCCAGGAACAAAAAATTTGAAATGTGACCTATTTGCACCCGCAACGCAAGTTCTATGACGCGTTTTTTCTCGAAAATAGGACAGCTGGCCGGTTCAGATGGCATATGTGACCTATCTGCACCCGCAATGCAAGTTCTATGACGGGTTTTCCAGTTTACAAGTACCGTGACTTAAGTGCACCCGCAGCGCAAGTTCTCAGACCATCAGTGCCATTTACTCTCATCTTTATAAATACTCCCTCTGTCGGGAATATACCCCGCGGTAAATCGGCCGGATGTATAACCCGGCTGGAAAATGGTGCTTCATTGATGACCCGTCCGGAGCTTGGCGACTCATGGCTATCCCGCCCTGGATTGGCGTAACCCGGCGGGCGGGTCAGACGAATGACAAGGCCCGAGGCCTAGAAGGCCGGTTCATGTTATGGTGGGCCGGTTTAAAAGAAAAGGCATAAGGAATATTCCCATACAAAGGAAGCAAGACTAGGACTCCACTTATAATAGAATAATTCTAATCCTAATAGGACTAGTAATGTAACCCGCCCCTTCAACATATATAAGGAGAGGCAGGGCTCCCAAAAGATGGACAAGTAAAGAAGAAACAATCTCTAGGGCTAGACACAAAGAGCCGGTTTACCGGCGACTTCCTCATGATGATAATGAGACCTAGCCACCAACAGCATGTAGGGTTGTTATCGGATGGTGTTTCCCGGGGCCCGAAGCTGTCTAAATCATCATCTTGTGTGTTGATCCGCCCTGCGTCTCTCATCCCAATCAACCCCTCTCAAACTATCACATAGATACGTTGGCTTCACGACTAAGTCCTGACACTAAGGACATCTGACGTGATAATTCCACGACAGTTGGCGCCCACCGTGGGGCTTGCGCACAGTGGTGTTGAGTTTTTGGAGGGATTCTTTTTAGGGATCAAGAAGTTTGTGATTTTCCGGATGAAGAAGAGCCGGTTTAGAAAAGATCAGCATCAACTTCAAGTGTATTGGTTTATATTGATAATCTGAGAGATTTGAGTATAAGGAAAAATTATGATTGGATCGGTGTGCCACCGCATGCGACTTGTCATTCCGCCGGTCCGGAGGCAGATTAATTTTGAGAGTGCTACCGTGAGAAGCCGGGATGAATATGGTTTTGCAAAGAGACACGCTCGAATCCATCAAGCAATAGGGGTTCGATCAGCTACATGTAACGGCTGGGAGCAGGACACGAACGAAAATCGGTCAAACCGGCCAAGACACGGAAAGCGGATACGGCCTCAGACTCTGCCATCACGTCACAGTCGCGCCCCTAAACCGTCGCCCCGGAGCCGCGTCGTCTCCACGGTGGCCGGACCCAAGCCATCCCCTCCGGGCCGGCCCTGTTACTCCCCGCCGCCACTCTCTCGGGATCCATCCCGCAGCCACCTGGTCTCCCTGGATTTCAACGTCGGCCAATACCCACCGAATTCCATCGATCCATCCATCCAACCGCATGTCCCAGCGCCCACCTCCTCACCCCCGAGCAGCTCGCGAGGCACCGGCCTCCTCAGCTCCTCCGGCCCTGCAGCAACCTCGCCGGAGCTGCACCCGCGTCACCGTCGGCGACCACCTCCATCAGGCCGGACCCCGCACCCCCCGTTGCTTCTCCTTCTCCCGTTCCATCTGGTTCCCTCTCTCACTTGCTCTCTGTCTTCTCCATGGAGACCCGCAGGAACATCACTACCATGGTCGACCTCGACGTGCCTCGCCACCGTCGGGTATGGAAGGGTCGACCTCGGTTTTGCCTCCCCGCCTCCTTCGATGCACCACCAGGAGCCATTGAAACCTCGCGCCGCCCCGTCTTGCGAGCACACTGGCGCCTTGGACCGATGCCACCAAGAGCCCCGGCGACCCCTCCTGGACCTGCTGCTGCCGCCAAGTTCCCCGCCGCCGTCGCGAGTCCCATGCCGTCGGCCTTCCCTGCGACCTCAACATCAAGTTCCCCTGCCTACATCGCCTGAAGCCGTCGCCCCGCCGCCAAGTCCCAACACGCGCCTGCGAAGGCTCTGCTTCGCCGCGCCGCCGCACGCAGACCCCTCTGCTCTCCCGCGCCTCCGCCTCGACCTCCGCCTCGCCAAGTCCAGCCGACGACCGAGGCCGCACCCTCAGCTCCGAGCCGACCGCTGCCCTGCGCCTCGTCCGCCTCGCCGGGTTCCTCGCCAAGTCCCGCGTCGGCCTCTGCTTTGCCCTGCCGCCGCGCCTTCGTTCTGTCTCCTTGTGAAGGAGACGACCAGCAGCCAAGCCGCATCGAGCGACGACCGCCTCGTTGCGTTGACCGCGCCCTTCCTTCGCCTACGTGGACCGCAGCCACGCCTCCGGCCCAACCTGGCTTCAGCCCAGCGCCCCCCTGCCGGCCTTCCTCTCCATCGCGTGGGCTCAGCCCCTCTATTCCGGTGCTGGCAAGGATGGTGATTTGCATTCATCTGTCTGCGTTCTGACTGCACCACCTGCTACTAGAAGTGGAGATATATTCTGCCGGTTTACAATGCCACGGCCGACTCATCAGTTGTCCGGGCCAATCAGGTGTTATCCCTCTTATATATTTTATCAGTATATGTTAATTCCTCTAAGTACCATTACACTGCCCTATTGGTGTTTTTTGTATACAGGTAAAATTATTGTTATATTACGGGTATAGAGCATATACGGGCAACATTTTACAATGGCGTTTTCCTCCATGTCACGTTACCCGATGAACAGACGGCCGGTTCATGCGTCTGCACCGGTTTATAAACGCGGAGGACAACTTGCTCGTCCGCACCGGTTTACGACGTCGCGGCCGGCTCATTTATCTGTTCCCGTGGCCGACTCGGCCATGGTTGATTTCAACTTCACCTAGTGATCATCCACTTCATGGCGGATTATTTCCGGCCTGGCACATCAGGTGATATCCATCAAAATATATTTTATTGGCACATATTATTTTTGTCAAAGAGCAGTTTATCTTCGCCTTGGTCTGCAGTATTGTTGATGCAGGACAATTGTTCACTACATCAAAACGACGTGGTTAACTCGCCCGTTCGCGCCGGTTTACAACACCGCGGCCGGTTCATCTGTTTGAGCCGCCTCTGATGCTGAGGTCGTCTTTTCCGTTCGCCTCTCGCGGCCTGATCTACATCAAAACACCGGGCCGTACCTGCCTGCATGAGTATAAAGCCAGTCATTGCTCGGGTAGCCCAGTTTTCTTTCAAATTGGAGGCAAATTATCATCAAACCGCCGTCTGCACTGGATGGAATAATGGGCATGAGTAGTTTCGTTAACTCCAAGCAGCTAGTTGGAAGGAACCATTGGCCGAGTTGCTGACACGGCTCTTATGGGATCATTCATAACCCGCCGCAGTCACCTCAACCTTCTATGAATTCACATCGTGCTATCAACACCAATGACATACAAATTATGCGGGTTTATATCACAGGCAAATATAGAGAATCTCAAGCCAACTCATCGAGTCACCTTGAGACTCGGGGGCTACGATGACATGACTCAGCAAATCTTGTCAGTTTCAGCAAATTTAAGAACCCCCGGACGATGGAGGGAAAGATAACCCGGTCTCGGAGGCTACTGTTATATTGATGAAAATTTAAAGGCCGTCGGAAAATTTCCGGCTTAGAAAGTATGTGACAGTTACAAAATCCCGGTTCAATGAAGAAGTTCCGGGTCATCAGAAAGGATTTCGGTTTAAAAATCCGGCTCAAGGGAAGTCAGTCTCACTAAAGCTCTCAAATATCCGGTTTACAATCCGGTTTAAGGGAAATCTGTCTCCCACAAAGCTCTGAAGCTCTTAAATCCGGTTTTAGAATTTCCGGTTCAAAAAGAATTAACTTCTCGCAAGTTCGAGTTTAAAGGCCGTCAGAAAATTTCCGGCTGAAAATGAAGATTCCGGTTTAAGATCCGGTTCAAGGGAAAGATGTCTCCCATAAAGCTCTGACGCTCTCAATATCCAGTTCAAAATCCCGGTTCAAGAAGAATTTTTCTCTTGCAAAAAGTTAAAAGGTTGCTGAAGAAGACCTGCTGCCATGATGCGCGGTTCAAACATGGGTATCCTGCCTTATTGGCTTATCATATTATTAATCACTTGGGGGCTTGGTCGTG